GTACTGAGAGCATGCAATAAGGTCTCCCCGAAGCCTTCTCTTCTCCAGGCTGAACAACCCCAACTCTCTCAGCCTTTCTTCATAGGAGAGGCGTTCCATCCCCCTGACCATTTTTGTGGCCTCCTCTGGACCCGCTCCAACAGGTCCATGTCTGTCTCGTGCTGAGGGCTCCAAAGCTGGATGCAGTACTGCAGGTGGGGTCTCACCAGAGCAGAGTAAAGGGGCATGCCTCATGTCTCACCTCCAGCCACAGCCACCAATTTTGTAATAAAATAATTTATAATTATTATAAATAACAGGAGTACACTCGACCTACTTTCCAAGTCAATAATGACAAAATGATGATTACATCACATGTAAACAACTACTTACTAGAACATTAACAAGTACTATGCATACAAAGTACTACTCACCTTCATGGAAACATCTGATGTTTGAAGTTCATCCAACTTTAACTGAAGTTTCACCTTTTCTGTGTTTGCTTCTGTAAGCTTTTCATTTAAGCGTTTAACATCCTCTGGAGGAAGGAGGAGGGAAATCAGTGTTAAAAAAAGCTAACTGCATAACAGTTTTGATTACTCAGCTTAACTAAGTTGTAAAGAATGAGAACAGGCAAGATATAATGTATGCAATTGTATATTGTGCAATAAGATATTGTATAATGTACGTTTTTACATCTACAAAACCAAGCATCAAACTGCTGTGTTTTTCTACAATTAGCATGTAATTTCCTGCCTTGTTTCCTTTTCTCTAAATACCGTTCCCTGCTAATCCATCATTTGGTGCCCCCTCTACAAACTGGATACTCCATACCAGTTCAATTGTTCATGCAAGTCTTTTACGTAGCAAAATCATTTGAAGTATTTTGTTAATACGTTCTCGGCTATACCGTTTAAATGTTCAACTTCCTGAGATCGTCTTTCACTTGTTCGAACCAAATCTCTCTTTTCAGCTTCCAGTTCTTCTTTTTCTCTACTTAAATGGCTCTGAAAAAAATTGCAAAAGAGCCATAAAGAAACGTGATCAGCTTTCTGTAACAGTTTACAGTCACTATTTACACTTACCATCAGAACCACAGTAAGTTACCCCAGCCAACTGAAAACTGGGATAAGAGGCTTTTATAGCAGGCAGCTGAATCAGTCTAAACTGCATAGTATGAAAGCACGGCTGCTTCCATTTTTTCTATCATGTTGGGGTATATAATTCAAACAAATGCAGGTTAATGTACCTCTTTCTTCTAGTGTCTAATAACCAAGACATTTCAATTAATGGGTTTTTTTCCCATAAATCACTCTGATGCTAATGGCCAGCCAGCCCTTTGTGCTTCAATGAGAAATGCCACTACCACATAACATTAGACAGCAAAGACGAGAGAAGTATCGCACAGCTTTCAAGACCAGCATATTGAATAGGTAGGTTTCATGCCTTTGCTTTTCAATTGACATAGAGAGGTCCAGCCTGCCACAAGACTCCCTCTCGTTCTAGCTGTATTTGAATGAGGATTAGAGCAGATGAAACAAACTGAAGGCCTAATAGAAATCCAAAACAAGCAACAGGGACTGTTCAAAACGGCATCTAATTTTAATATTCTTTGAAAGACAGCTTTGATGGTTAAGACTTCACTGAAACAGTTTTATTTGGTTAAATAAAAGAGGTAACAGAGTAACCAAGGAATGAACACATGCAAAAAATCAATATAAAAATCAAATAAAAGTCAATAGTCTTGGATCATTTATAAGCTATGGTACTGCCTCTGCCTTCTAAGGTGTCAATACAAACCACTTCAGTTACGCCCAGGTAAGCCCCTCTGGGGAAACAATCAGATCCGTCTTCTCATTGTGGACAAATCAACCTAGTAATAATGTTTTCGATTCCTGCTCCAAAATTAGTGTTCTGCTGAATCAGTCAGCTGAAGTGACTCATCCTGCAACCCCATGACTTCTGAGCATAATGCAAGGAAAACTGTGCCAGTGTGTGGGAAAAGATGGGGGAAAAAAGCATCTTCTTTACATCTTTGTCTGATTTTTGAGGTTCAGCTTAAAGTCACTTCACAACAGTTTTCAGCTAGAATGAAACAATCTATCCAAACTGAAATAAAAGCATCTGCCCTGACATATGTTCACCTGTAATTCAGTTTGCTAAAACACCAGCATTTACTTAAACACAATTTTCCTGTACACATGGCCATACGGACATGTAAATATGTACATCAGTACATATTTGTACTGATATTGATACAGTCCAGTTTGGAAATTGACTGCGTTCTTTGCTGCAACGAGACAGGTGAACCAAAGTCTTTCAACTTATCGTCAAGTTCTTCCAGTACCTGAGAGGCTGCATTACGATCCTGAGCAGCTTCAAGTTCTTTATTTTTCTCATTCAGTGATTTGAACTGTTCATCTGTTGGACAAGAAGAAACAGTAGTGAGGGATCTCCACTGTAACGTAATGACAGAATTCACTCGCCAAATGCAATTAAGCCAAAATTTCTCTTAACAACATGAAGAAAAAATAAAAAAAAAAAAGAAAGAGAAGAATTCAAGACTTCCCTATGGCTGTACTAGGTAGTATTGTGGCAAACGAATGCAATCGTTAGAGCAGAGGCTCTTATTGTGAAAATCAATACATAACCCACTGTACTACTATTACTACAAAAATCAGAAAGCAAGTTTTTTGTTTCCATTAAAAAAAATTCCACTTAAAAACTTAAAACACAAAAGCAAAACATCTCTCAACTTGCAGAAATAACAAATGTAGTTGATGGATGGATTTTCAACCATTTCAACTATTTAAAACTTAAGGCATTTCAGCATAATGTTGGACTAAAGAATGAATATCCTGTCCAATCTTAAGAATGTGCAGTTATACTTACGAAGTTTTTTAAGCTCCTCACGGAGAGTTTGACATTCTTGTGTCTCATTTACAAGCCTCTCCTGACTTTGAGCCAGACGCTTTTCTACTTCAAAGTACTGTTGTTCTGCAAAATAACAATGTTATCTCAATGTCACTTAATAAACGTTTCTTTTTCTTTCTCACCTTTACCAAACATCCTTATTAATGGACATCTTTATAAAAAGAATGGTATTTATAAAGAAAATATCTAAAAATAATAAGACTACAGTAGAATTTGAAGAAAAAACTATTTCTGAAGGCAAAAAAATGCATTTCCACATTGAATTAACTTTGTTTAAAATACTTTGTTAGCGTGGAAAGTGATATGTTTCCAGCAATGATCCATAAAGTAACAGCCTAATTTTAATAGTTCTTTTTGATGTAGCTAGAGAACATATTATCAGCACAATTACGCAGTGTGATCTCATCAACTTAAAACTTTTTTTACCTGTAGCGTATTTCTATACACATACAATAAAATCCACATAACCCTAGGTATCAAGAGATTTGATTTAGAAAATTTTTAATGAATACTTCTTAAAATGAACTCCCATAACACTAAAAAAAAAAATTAGATCTGAATTTTGGTTATCTGAAACAGTAACTGTGTCACAGAGCTCAACCGTAACATACTTAGTAAAAGCAGAACTAATCTCACTCTCAGGCACAGTGGGCTTCTAAGGAAGTACTGAGGGATTTTTATTTATCTTATGCTTCCTATCATATCCTACAATTTCAAATAATGCTGCCCCTCCAGCCACATATGAGAAGAACAGACCTGAAAGGGACTAACCTGCTAAAATCTGTGGATTACCTTAATTTACACTACGCTTTATTAATTTACTTTAGCAAGATTTTTACGTGAAAGAGACAGAAAGGCTGAAGGAAATGTGGACATAAAGTTTACATCACAAGTCTGTCACCTACCTGATAAATTAACTCATATTCACAACCCTGCCCAGCGCTTACACTCATCTACATTCTTCTCTCATTTCTGCTCCAGTTCTCTACTGGTATTATTTTTCTGTGATCAAGTAACCTCCAAATCAATATAAACCTGTTGATTCTATCAGGAGCATTTTACAGAAAAGTTATGGTCTTCAACATGGAATTTAACAGAAAAAGTATAAACCTAAGGCTATTTGAGAGTTGGGTAAACAAATCATTATTTCTCTTCCACAACAAGGAACAAAGCAGACTGAAGCATATCAATGCTTGTTAAAAACCTGGTGAAAACCTGTTCTTTAAGCCCTTTTTTGCAGTTTAAAGCCTGAAAAGGCCTTTGCAAAAAAAAAAAAAAAAAGAGAAAAAACCCAGACTCCTCTTGCCAAGCGAAAGTGAGAGAGACACCCCCATGGGGCCTCAACTGCAGGGCCCCCTCCCCGGCAGCGGGCACACACCCCCACCTCACAGGCCCTAGGCCACCCCCTGGAACCCTTCTGAAGACAGCAACGACGCGTCAGGCCCAGCCCCACCTCCCTCGCTCCTCTCATCCGAGGGGACCACGACGTTGCTACTCCCTAAAAGCGCGCCGGAGGAGGGGGCACCCGGCCCGACCCCAGG